TGGCGCGCATCCTGCTGGCCGCTTTCCTCCCGTCGGTGATGGGCATCACCTGGGTGCGCTCAGCCGGGGGCGCCAGCTGCGAGCATGCATGCGCCGCACGGGGCGGCTGCAATGAGGACGGGGAGTGGAGAGAAAGACCCCCCCCCGGGCCCCTCCGGCTTGTATCGGTTGGTTGGGTGGAAAACGAAATACTCGAAGAGCTTGCTAGAGCCTTTGGTGAAGCTCCAGTGGTTGCCCGAAAATTGATGGCCATGCCAGAAGCAAGTTTTGCCCACGCACAGCCTTAGGCATCTTGAGATTCTGTTTCGGCCAAGTGCCCTTCCACTGTCCTGACCCACCAACTTGTGCAGGTGTTCCGTCCAGGGGCAAATCGCACGTTTGTCAGCCAGCGAGCCAGTAGCCATCAGCTGTGAAGGTGGTGGTGACACCCATCAGCCAGTTGCTGTGAAACCGTTGATGGTGCCCAGAAAGCAACAAAAGCAGAACGCTGTTGTAACACTCGATTGCTTGACTTAGCCGAAAATCTGCAATTTTCGCACCAGCACAACCACAACAAGTGTTTGGTCCAGTAGGCATGCGGTTTTGGGATAACTCATTGCACACTGGGAAGAGCATGGAGTCACTGGTGTGGGTGTGAATGCTCCCTTTTTTGTTCGTGTCGCAACTCGCATGGTGGATGGACACGTAGGGTATATGTTCCAACATCCTTCTGTAGGGTATTTGTTGTTTCCCTGTTTGGGCCTGCCACAATTGCCTCGATGGAAGGTACCCAATCATCAGGAGGCATTTTGCGAAGGCACCCGCTGAATAGGCTGGACACTTGCTTTAGTCTTTGGTCTCCCTTTCCCAAACTGCCCATGGGATACCCAACTGGCTTCCTTTTGCCCCACAACTAGCTGGCAAGGGGGCTCCTTCGAGCTGGGGGTATGTCACGCCGCGCCCACGTTGTTCGGTTCGTTTCCTTGGGCCCAGCTGTTCCTCGAACTTCCAGGAGGTGTGGCCCCAGAGCGAGGAGGAGTTCCAGGACGTGGCGAAGCTCGCGGGCGCGGAGTGCGTCACCACCCAGGAGGGGGGCGCCAAGTACGACCCCTCCAGCGACGGCCGGCACTGCGGGTGGCAGGGCCCTGAGGGCAGCCGATGCTCAGAGGCGGAAGAACTACTTTGGCGCCCGAATTGATCGAGTCGTTTCGTTGTTATTGTTCGAGGTGTCCCTTCAAAAACAGACCTTTATTTTCTTGGAGGGTCCCTTCAAGATCAGACTACCAAATGGGTGGCCCTGTTTTTTCATCCACGGCCTCTGGGGGGATTTTTTTTTTGTTCAAGACTACCTTCCCCGTGCTTGTGCTTCGGGAAAGAGAGCCAACCTAGGGAAAGACGGGTTTTTGAAGAGAACGATGAGTGAGGGGAGTGGGGAGTCAACCCTTAGGGTCTTTGTTTGGGGCGAAGCGCCCTTCAGGCGGGGGACAGTGGCACCTTCCGATTCTGTCCCTGCAACGCAGACAAGGAGCTCTAGAGGCGCGGAGGGCTGGCTGTTCGGATGCTCCATGAAAATTCCGAGGGCTAAACAATTGCAATAGATGAATGTTTGTATGCTGGCTGGCTGTTTGGATGCTGGTTTTATGTTCCTAGAACTGAACAAATGCAACAGCGTGACTGCGGCTTCGACAACCATTGACCCAGGCATGGGCGCCACAGGATGCTGACCGCGCCAGTTTCGCGTGATACTTGCGCCAGGGGAATGGGAAGGCGTAGCCAAAGCGCAGCCATTTTGGATGTGCCCAAAAGAGGGCATTGACAATGTTGTTGGCATATTTTCTAGCAGCACAACGAGGCTGCCTGAATTCGTTCGAAAGACTTCAGCTAAAGACTGCCAGTGTTCTGGCTGGCACCGGCGAAGAAAATGGTACTGCCGCCAGAGTGCCTTTGTGTTCTTTTGAGACACCCCCTTGGCACCTTTTGAAGGGAGCCAAGAGGGAAGCCAGCATTTGTTGGGTCCCCCTATTTTGAGACATATTCATAGTCCCAATAGCGATGCCTGACCCATGGCCTTGCACGCGACATCAGACCTCCAGCTTGTTATTTTGGACCTTGCAGCCGTGAGGGGCCTGAGCATATTGGAAGCTTGTGGAGCTTGCTCCTTCTGGTAAGCAGACTCAGTTCTCCCCCGAGCATTCCACAAGCTACTCTCTGTTGATCCAATCAGTCAGTGTGGTTCCTCTTGCGCTGCAAATCAGCTTCTTTTTGGCCGCTGCTTGTCAGACTTCGAAGTCAGCGGCTTAGCATTGCAGACGGCCGATTCGTTGCGTTGCCAAAACAGATAGGTGAAGCATGGTGAAGCAGATGTGCGTGCTTATGTTGGTCGCCCATACAGGAAGGGTGCCGTGACAGTGCGACCTCAGGCGAGTTTCTGATGAAACTGCGCGGCCCATCAATCACAGCCTTTCTGCAACAGGCAGAGGTTGGATCAGCATGTGTCTTAGGTGTCCATTGCATTGTTCACTGGGATGGGCAAGGATGTCAGAAGGCAAAGGCTCGAAATTCCCAGCTTGTCTTATCCATTTCTCCCTGGGAGAGTAGATGAATGCAACTCATCTTCATCCCCAGATTGGGGAGTGCGCACTTCATCCGCCAGGCAAACTTGGCACTTTTGAGCGCTCAGCTGCAGGACAGGCTTTGGGAGTTGGGAAACAGTTGAGGGGAAGCCTTGCCTTGGCCAGTTTGCTGTTTTGCGAGTTGCACATGAGTCTATCAGTACTTCGGTCTTAGTCAAGTCTGTGCAATTCGAATGATTTCTAGTGCCTGGGTCCTTTGTGCTGGTTGGAGGTGAACGCGTTTCCCAGAGTGCAATCAGGACGGGCCGCGGAGCAAGCGCCGCGCCGGATCCCGAGGTCGTGAGTTCGTCTTCTGGGCCAGACTTTTGCCTGCGTGAATGAACAATGGAATCGGCATCCTAAAAGTTGGCCAGAGGAACACATCACGAAGGATCAGCGGAAAGGGGCCTCCGAGCTTCTGTGGGTTTATACTGCTGTGTGACCCGTGCGACCATTTCGCCCTTGCGAGGCGGCGCGCTCGCAATCGCCTGAGTTTCAGGTGAAGGACGGAAGAGTTTGCAGCAGATGGCGACAGGTTTCCACTGGCACATTAGAAGCAGAGAGGCAGCGAGCAGATTCCTTGCAACAGGAGCTGGATGAATTAGAGGCACCGAACAGCGGCTGTTCGCTGCAGGCATGTGTGCCCGAGCAGCGGAGCCCCGCGCAGGTTCGAGAGCAGCTCACCGTCCAAGCGAGGACTTTACTAGGCCGAGGTCTGAGCTCAGAAATTCAGTGCGTCACCACGACCCTCAGGGCGAGGTAAGGTGAAACTCACGATTTGCCAACCACGCGGTTGCCTCATGTGGGTGCCTCTTTTTGAGGCGACCCTCCAAAATTGTGCGTGTTTCCTGCTGTTTCCCTTGCAAACTACCAATCTAAGATATAAAAAAGAGGGGGGGTGGGGGGGGTACTCCCGGAAGAAAGGGAACCCCACCCTTTTTTTTGTGAGCACTCATCAGCCGCCCGGACCTAGCTCGCGACGTGAGAACGCGCATCACATGCATCGGAAGCCGACAAACAGCAGATGTTCATCGGCCACCGTCTCAGGCTTCGAGCGGCGGCTGAAGGCCTTGGAGGCCCGGCCCGGCGCCCGCCTCGGCTGTTGGCACGTTTTTTCGACGCAGGAAGCGGGGGTTGCTCGAAATGGATTTGTTCTAGGTCCCCCGGTAGTGCCCTTTTACCCGTTTTTGGGGGAGGGCTTCTGTTGGGGGAGGGTTCCCTACTGAAATAGACTGCACAAAAAAAGGGTACCCTTATTCTAAACTCTCTACTGGAGGACCTAGTGTTTTGTGGGGGACACGGGGGACCCCCTTTGGGTTTGATGTTGATTTGGTCAAATGGACATCAACAAGACCTTGTGCGAGTGGTGCTGTGCAGTTCCGGCTGTGTTTTGTTGCGTGTGTGCGTGCTTGTTGTGTGTTTGTACTGAGCATCCATGCATCGCTGGTTTGTCCATATTGAGACAGTCTTACCTTTTCCGAACACGACTGCCTGTTGTTTTGGGACGGCCGCTTCTAAACCTGAAGCCGTGGCCGCAGCTTTGGCTCCAACGAAGCGGCGCCCGCTTGCCTTTCGCCGGGCGGACGGGGCCTTCTGCCATGGTGAGGCGCGGGGGCTTTGGGGCTCTGGGCCTTGCACGTGGGTGGTTTGTGCCAATGTTGACGGAGAGCCCCTTGAAGCTTAAAAGCAGCATGTACGGAACCGCCCACAAAGACCGTGGAGGGGAGTGAGTGAGGTTGGTGTTGGAAAGGAGATCAATCGGGTGTTGGGATGTTTAGCTGGGATGCGGAATGTGGCTGTAAGTAGACCTGTTTAGTGTTAACTTGTTGCTTTGATAGAGAAGTCCTCATCGAGCCAAAACACAGATCCCTGTGTGGGTTTCTATTCAATATCGAACTATTTTTGGTTTACCATAGTGCTGCCTTGGTACTTGCTTAGGTATTGGAGCCAGGGAGTTTTATGTGAAGACCCTATCTTTTCCCCTGGAAGACAGCTTTGGGCCTAGAGGCACGGGTGACTTCTGAGCTTGCCATTGGCTGATAGGCTCACGTGAGGGCGCTGGGATTTGACTGGCGGCTTTCGGTGGGAATGATTTTGTCCATTGCCAGCAGCCTGCTGTTAAGATCTCAAAGATGTGAAACATTTGAAGACTGCTTTCCACCTGGTTTTTTTCTCTTCTGCAGAAGCATTCAATGAGCCCTTGGCTGTATGGTTCAAGCTGAGCTCTCCACTTGCACTTCCGCTGCTTTGACTTCTCAACCTGTTTGGAAGCCGGTGCAGGATGACTTTTCACGCTACAGGCGTGATGTGCAGGCTTGTCAGCCTTTACCTGATTCTCTTCTGCGACTCTGCCGATGGATCTGCCACAAATATATCGGAACAGGAAGTGACCGATCGTGTCTCCGAGATCATGGCTCGACTCGGTGAACGTGAGGCAGAGATGCTGGTGGACTTTTCTCGAGCCGCTCCAAGTTTGGGGGACTTGTCACACAAGCATCTTGTGCACGCCATTGCCGTGCATGAAGACTTTGACAGACCAGAGAGCCTTCGCTTCGAAGTATCTTGGTGCTTCGAAGTATCTAGGTGGAGTCTGAAGTTGTATCACTCAGCACCAGGAGATGGGTGGTACGTGGATCTACGCAATTTCATATTTTTGCCTTCTGACCAACAGGAAGGGCTAAAAAAAGCGATTGAACGTCAGATACAGAAACAGCGAGCTCTTTTCCCCCGCAGAGCCTTGGTGAAGGCAGCCAGCGAGAAGCATCTGCGAAGCTGTTTCAAAGATATGGATGGGTTGAAAGACCTGACCGACAAGATGCAGTCAGTGAGGGCAAAGCAGGCAGAGGCGGAAGAAGCCGTGAAGAAAATGTCCCAGTGCTTCGCGGATTTCTTTGAGGAATTGACGGAACAAGGAGTTGACGTCGAGACAGCTGCAATGGACCCATGGAAACCATTGTGCATGATGAAGGCAACTGCATGGATGGCCCACTTTGTTGAGCTTGCAGCCAGGGACAGCAATGAGCACAAGGCAATCGAAGACCCAGCGCACCTTACCCAGGAAATGCACTTCAGTTTTCTGGTTTCGCTGTTTTTAATGTTTAAGCAAGGCAAGTCCAAACAACCTGTAGGTCTTGTAGCAACCCTCTGAGTCAGAGGGCAGCCTTGGCACAGCTTCCATCGACTTTCTCGCTAAAGCAGTGCACAGGAGGGAGATTCGGCGGAAGAAGCACAGCAGCCACAGCGGAAAAAGCAACCTTTGCACGGGATGTGTCGCTCAGTCGGACAAAATTGTGGAGGCTGTAGCACGCAAAAGGCCGGCTGTTCTGGATTGAACCATGCCGAACATCCATCAACATAGTTTGCGACTTTAAGCATGTCACGGGAACCCTGACTTCACCCCACTGGAAGTGAGATGGACAGTGTGCAGGATAGATTAGATTTGAAGATATTGACGAGGAATATTGATGGTTGTTTGGGTACTAAGAGTAACCCCAAATCAAGTTATAGGTCAACTCTCTCAAACATAGTGAAGCTTAGCTTTTCTATCTATCGGGGCACCCCCAAACAGACAGTTAAGGTTGCATGTGTTTCCCTTGGACAATAAATGTCCAGCTCGATTTGTGAGGCCATTTCAGGTGTCCCCTTTAGGCTGTCGGATTGGTCTTGAGATCAACTTCTTGCTCTCCAAACTATTGGGAGCGCTCCTTCCATTAATGTGGACCCTCTGGAATGGTCTCCCCTTTTGATCGAAGTCGCCGGCCGACTTCGGGTTCTGCCAGGCGCCTGGCAGCGGCACTTTGTGCAGTGGCCCTCGCGGCGGAGGTGAAGCATGAGCACCAGGCGCCAACGAACGGCTTTGGTTCCCTGAGGCCGTGTAGGTTAAAGCAACCATCAGCCATTTTTCCCAAATGGGAAGCATATCCACGACTGCCTTGAAAGAGGACCTGCCAACAAGACGGTTTTCCTCAGGCCCGGTGCCTCAAGATTCTGCCTGAAGAGTTGGCTCACTTCAACGATGGACTCAGTATATGGATATGTCAAAAAGATATCGGGTTCTTTCCAACAGAGGACCGGCGTGACAACAGTGACATATACCACTTGTTATTTGACATGTTTGGAACATTTATACAAATTTGACAACATCCCCATTTTGGATGGTCCCTACTCTTTACCTGTGCCTGCGTGAGAGCCAGCAGCCAGGCTCAGCCGGCGAATGCCACGGCTCAGGCGGGGAGCGGGAGGAAACGGAGCACTCGGGTTGAGCGCAACGCGGTGTTTTGGCCAGGAGAAAGGAGCTCCTCCTGGAAAGGCCGGGGGAAGGGGGATGGCCTCCAACGAAGGGTTTGTCGGGCTGTATCTGGAGTGGCCCTAGTTCTGACGCCTTCACGGGTTGATTGAATTCGGAGGTTCACGACTGGCCCTATCCTTGAGTTGACCTTGATGCGTTGCATGTTGTTGGCAGGGCGGTCCTTCGGCGTGTGTCACTAATGTAAAGCTCACTGTTCTTCTTGGAGTCACATTTGTGCAAGTGCATTGGTCCCGCTGTGCCTTCTGTCCAGCAAACCACCCGCCCATTCTCAACGTCTTCCTCAAAGAGCGGCAGCTTCTCGGGTCGCCGACGACCTGCCAGATCAGCCAGCTGCCTTTCGCCGAGCTGGAACCCTTTGGCCGGGAGAGCACCGGCCAGGACCGGGAAGAGAGCAGTTGCAAAGAGCTGGCCGCTAGCCCTCCGCCAGGTGTCGACTTTTTGCTGTTGAAAGGATCATGACTTGCAGAAAAGGCCGGAAATTCATTTATCAGACTTGCCCAGAGGCTTAGCCATTCCTGGGTCTTAAGAGGCAGCCAAAACCCTTTTGACAGCCAAGCTTCGACCAAAAGTCAATAGGTGTTGGGAGATGGTCAAGTCGGTGTTCCGGACTCGACGTATGCTTTCAGGAGCTGACCGAGTCCTCCATCACTGAGACCAACGCTATGGCCGGGCTCGGGTCGGCCTGGTTTCTTTCCAGTGGCCGGCAAACGGGCTGAGTCGCAGTTAGGAATGACAACATCTTGGGGATCGACCCCCTTGGAAGGTCTTGGGGACAGGTCCAGACACCAACCTTCCATGTGTGAGTGTGTTGCAACTAGTGCACTGTGCTGGGCGGTGGCTTCTTAGCACTGAGATGGCTAGGAAGAACACGACACGAATGCTCGACAGTATGAAAACACACAAAGCAAAAATGGCAGTAGGGACCCTTGAACACTGACATCCTTCCACCCCAATCTGCAAAGCGCATCCCCCAGCAAGAAATATTGTCCGCTGCTATGTCCAATGTTCGATGTTGCTGTCTTTGGGTTGTCATACTGAAATCCTGGCACATCAAGAGCTGGGGGGGATTCTCAAAATAAATAGTGGTCCCAATGTTCCTTTTCGTTGTCCTTACATGTCCTTACCGTCGAATACAAAGGGACACCATGTCGAGGCATTCACCATTTGTGTTTGTGTAGGTTATCTCTAAACGGGAACCCTCGAGAAGGTGTCACTCCCAACCAGCCCACCAAAAAGACACCTAAATGGCACGATGGCGGCCAAAGCTTTCTGGCATCCCTGAAAAGAAACCACCTGGATGGGTCCTAAGTCATTTCCCGCGAACCAACACCCTATTGTTCAGGGGCACCCTGTTTGATGGCCTACCAAAAATTGTCAACCCCAGAAAAGAAAGGAACAAAAAGAGGAAACAAAACGAAAGGCCACTTGTTCTACCAGGGCCAGGAACCGGGTGTCACCGTTTTGAGAGAGAGGTTGACCAGCTGGAGAAGGCGGAGGTGGCTGAGGAGAAGCGCTCGGTGTTCCGGGCCCTCACCCGGCTACGAGGCCCGCGCTTCGGTCTGCGTCGGTTCGCTTCCCCGTTGTTGCTGTGCAAAAAGGCAGCCCTTTTTGCCCGAGAACCACAAAACACCCTGGTGAGACATTTTCGAAAAGAATGGAATTAAAGTGCAAAGGGAAGCAACGGCTTTTGTGCGGGTTCCCGGGAGTTGCAGTCCTTAGCACGTGAGGCATTGAGGCGATGTAGCTTATGAAAAATTAGTTGTGGCTTCATGAGTCT